GTGTGTGTGTGTGTGTGTGTGTGTGTGTGTGTGTGTGTGTGTGTGTGCAGATGGTGGTACTGGCTACAGACTAAACCCCCAGGGCTTCGTGTATATAAGATTTTACTAGTGACTCTGTCTTTGGAGATAGTTCATGTCACAAATCCAACTGATAGGCCAGACGTATGAGCAATATGAAGGAGAGCTGAACCTTTCTGCCTCAGAGGATTCCGATCACTGTGGAGAGGTATCAGTGAAGAAAGGAAAAACCTGAAGAAACTCGGGTAGCCCAGGCCTTCCCACAGGAACTGAATCCTTGCTGGAACTAGGAAACACATTCAGAAACCACATGAGACTGGAGAACTCCATGTCTCTCGACTCTTTAAAATCTGTGATTTGGCTGAGGCATAGTTTAATGGTAGAATTCAAGCTCGGCATTCACAAGTCTCTGGGTTCAATTGTGTTATGACTTGAATCTTAAATGCTCTCCAAACACTATGTTAAAAGTATGGCCACCAGTTTGTGGTGTTGTCAGGAGATAGTGGAACTTTAGGAGGTGGGGTCTAATGAAAAGTAGGTTGTTTAGGGGCTGGCCTTTGAAGGACAAATTAGGATCCCGCCTCAGCTACCAGGTCTTGGGCAGCTTTGTTTACCTCGTGCTTCCCCCCGAGATAGGCACTATCAGCCTGCCCAACCAACCATGAACTGTGAACCAAAATCAGACATTCCTACCATTTAAGTTAATTATCTCAGGCATTTTTGTCACAGAGATACCTAATATCACAAGCAGAAAAAATGAAATTCTTATTCTCCTTACCATCCAGTCATGTACCTGTAGCCAGCCTTCAAGGGCTACAGCACAAGAGCATCTAGCCTTGCCTAGAACTGCTTCCTAAACAGGTGTGTACTATAACCTTCAAATGCTATGGCCCTTCCCTGTCTCAGGGAAACCCAAACCACTAATGACAAGTTTGATGCAGGTAGAAAGGGAGCCCCATACTTGTAAAAGTTCCTAATTTCTTGACGACTGTGGAAAGCAGAGGAGACTTAAAGATAGCAATGATGTCCCCCTGAGGTGGAATTGACTCACCAGGATCTGGTCAGGCACAGCATACTTGGCGATCTTGGTGGCCACTGCCAACTTGAGTTCATTGACCACCACGCTTGCGTCGCTGGCATCATCTTTCAGCACAATGAAGGCAAATGCAGCTGGAAGGAGAGCAAAGACCAGGAGGTGCTAGGTCTGAGTCTGTCTTGAATGCAGGGTCACAGGCTGCTGTAAGCCCGCAGGGTTTCCAAATCCTGAGCTGGAACCCTGAAGGAGCCTGTCCACTGCACAGGGAATGGAAACAACCCTAGCAGCAGCTCTGCCAGTGTCCCGCATGAGTAGTCATGCATGGTTGAGAGCATGACACCGTGGCAGTGCGGACGACTGTGTGACCTGGGACATGTGACTTAACATTCTGTTCCCTCAGCTTTGAAAGAATGCATGATGTGGGCTGCCTGGAGATGAACACAGAATTGTGTAGCAGCATACTGGTGAACACAATGGTTTTTTACTTAAAATTTGTGATCCCTAAGGCTAGGGAAGCAGCTTAATCAGTAACGTTAGGGGTCACACAAAGATCTCTAACACCTGGGTAAAAAGCCAGGCATGGTGGTGCATACCCATAATCCTAGCAATGGGGAGGTGGAGATAGGAGAATCCCAGGAGTTTGCTGACCAGCCAGCCTAACCAGTCAGTGAGTTCCAGGTTCAGTGAGAGACAATGTTTCAAAAAAACTCAGTGGAGGGCAACTGAGAAGACATTTTGACTTTGACCCGTGGCCTTCGTATGCATGTGCACCATACAAGGATGTGTACACACACACATTCCCACATTACACGGCCAGAGTTCAGTTGCTGGTTGAGTATGTTGGGGCTACTGTGTTAGTATCAAACTCCACACTTGAAAAGCTCTGTCATGGAAGAAAATTCTGCCAGCTTGCAAGGTGAATGCATATGAGTGCACAAACACTAGATGACATTATCCAATATCCTGACGAGTTCTTGAGAGAATGCGCATGGCTTCTACTGCCACACAGGATAATTTTCCTGTGTGACCTATCCCTTGGAACCACTTCTGTCCCCTCTATTGCCCTGCAACATTCCTCCTCTCATGAAGTGTTTATATACTTCTGTGCAGCTTTCCAGTTATCACTTGTCTGTTCTACACCAATTCCCATCTTCCAAACTTACCCTTATCCCGAGCTTCTTGAATCTACTGCACTCTGTAGCGTCCTCATTGACCATGCTTACTGTTCAGTGTCTGTCTCTCCTTTCTGTCCCCTTTCTGGGTTGATTATGGCAGAGGTTTCACCTGCTTTATATTCATTAGTGTGCCACTGTCATCTAAATCCATGCCTGGAATATGGTAGCTACTTGTTAAATGTGTGGACAAACGATTGCTTCCTGCACTAGCTATGATTTGTATGTAGTGAACTAAGCTGCTACTAGAAAGGCTTCCCCATCTCCATCTGAAAACCTTATTTATCCCTCAAAGCCTCAAAGTTGGTTAATTTACACTTTGTGACACTTTTTCTGACTCTGTCCATAGTTACAGTATTTGGTTTGATCACTGTTTGATCACTTCACTGTCTCCACCCCACATCAGGTTGACTGCATTGTTTCATTTTGGCAGTTGACATGACATTGGAGACAGACCTAGATTATTAATTCCACAGGCAGGGATGAAGGGTCGTAGAGGAGCAGGTTAAGAGGCATACAGTAGGACAAGAGTCTGGCCAAAGCCCACAGTGTTCAGGTCCTAGTCAAACTAGACCCAAAGGCTCTCAGAGGGAGTGGGACAAACTGCAAGTGTGTTTAAGCATCTTGACACTAACCAAGAGCTTCTTCATGAATTACAAATCTGTTAGAAACCAATAGCATATTATATGTGAATTTCCCTCCCAGCCCTGCAGGCACTGAAGGGTGGCAACACCTGATGCTGAGAGCTGATGATGGAGCAGGAAGAGGCCATAGGACCCAGAGAGTGCCAGGCTTTGGTCGCAGTGCTGGGAGTGCCCATGAAGAACCCACATGTGGGCAGAGCAGCTGATGCCGAGCACAGCCTAGCATAGCCTGCCCCATCGAAAGCTGTCCCGCTGCAGCGCAGCTTCTTCGACCTTGTTCATAGTCTCTAGGGTTCATCCAGGGGCTGATAAACTCCCAAGGACAAGGCAAAGGGTAGCTGGGGTCACAGGCCGCTTTCACCAACTCCTTGCCCTCTTGGGTTCTGAACTGAAGTATTGGCGCTGTCTTTAGACTCGGGCACACTGAACTTCACAGCTTCCTGATGCTGGGAACACACCAGTGCACTACAGATCCTTGGGCTGCAGGGATGTCAAATGCAGGGGCCCCAAAAGTGGGTCCAGGTCCCTACTCAAACGGGCTAGCTTCACAGTTACCCAGGAGGAAGTGTTCTTACTGCTGCCTGCTTCCCATCTTGATGATATCTAGGCATTGCCTCTGCTGGAGGGTGTTTCAAACAGCTCTCTTACATGTCTTTGTCCCGCTAACAAAGCCACAGCCAGCCCAGCACTTTGGTTCGATAGTAATAAAGGATGCTGTTTTTAAAGCACTGAATTCATTTTTAAATTTTGCAGCAAGTCAATTCAAAGAAAGTATCTGATGGGCTGGAGAGATATCTTAGCAGTTAAGAACACTGGCTACTCTTCCAGAGGACTGAGGTCCTGGTCCTAGCATCCACATAGCAGCTAATAACCATCTGTAAATGCAGTCCCGGGATATCCAATGCCCTTATACACCCCTGTGTTAGCCCTGCATACCCATGGTGCATAGACATACATGCAGGTATCCATAGATATTAAATAAAGATATAAAAAAGAAAAAAGGACAGAATCTATGGGGCTGTGGTGGAGCTCAGTGGCAGACTGCAAACTTAGCATGTTTGAGGACTTGGATTCTATCTGGAATATTAAAATGGTTAAAGGTTTGATTAAGTACTAGAACAGTAGCACATAAGTGTAAAGAAGAGGCAGGTGACACTTGGAGCAAGCTGTAACATGGAATGTCCCTAAGAAGAGAGAGAACACTCAATTCCAGGCCACTGGGCAAGATATGCAAGATCATTTTGTGCAGGAATGACTTCACACAGGCTTTGAATATAGCCAGGTCACACTAGGCCACAGGATCTGCCATTGCAACACTCAAGTGTCCTTTCCGGACACAGCCACTTAGGAATTGGCCGGCTCTGGGGAAAATTTTTTAAAGATATCATTGATTTAAGATCTTTCCAATTCTCTGCCCTTCTTCTCTGTGCCCACATGCTGTGCAATCACAAGTTAAGTTTCCTCAGCATCTCAGGGTAGCACATGGCCTACTATAGGACTTAGCCCAGTGCACAGATATGGCAGCTGCAGAGCTGGCATGAGTACTGAAACCAAGCAAGTGGGTAGGCAGGGGACATGTGTGTGGCTTAGAAAGTGCCCCAGACTATTTCTGACATGAACTCAATGGCGGGCTCTTTGACCTCCCCACCCCCCAAGGGAGGAGCTGCCCTGCTAGGCCACAGAGGAGAACTTTGCAGCCAGTCCTGAAGATACCTGATAAAACAGGGTCAGATGAAAGGGGAGGAGGTCCTCCCCTATCAGTGGACTTGGAAAGGGGCAGGGAGGAGATAAGGGAGGGAGGGTGGGATTGGGGGAGAATAAGGGAGTGGGACACAGCTGGGATACAGAGTTAATAAAATATAACTAATAATAAAAATAAAGATCTAAAAAATAAATATGATGAAATTAAAAAGAAAAAAGAAAAAAAAAAAAAGAAAGTGCCCCAGTCAGAGATACTGGGAACAGAAGAGACTTCCTAGGCTCAGCCAGAGGCCAAATATAGCATGATATCTTATGGCTGAGTATCCTCAAAGGTCAGAAAATCTAGGCACTTCATAGCTCAGGCTCTTGATGCTTACCTTGCTCAGTGTCCTTACCAGGAAGGCAACAGTATAGCGCATAAGGACCTTAAGGCAGTGAGCCCTCAGAAACCTGTTGTCCTATCTGGGCACACTGGTAGGCATGAACCTCCACTGTAGGGAGGAGGAGGAGGACACTCACCTTCTCCCTTGATGTCATGAGGATACCCAATGACGGCAGTTTCTGGAACAGCAGGGTGGTCAGCCTGTAAACAACAAAGGACAACAAGCCCTGAGATGACTTGGGATGCACGTTCCACCCTGACTCTGAGATCAACAGAGGCGTTGTTAGAGTGCCAGGCAAGTAAAAGGCGAGCTACTTACCATTGCATCCTCAATCTCTGCAGTCCCCAGGCGGTGACCACTGATGTTGATGACATCATCCATGCGCCCTGTGATCTGGTAATAGCCACCCTCAGTCCGGTGAGCTCCGTCGCCAGTGAAGTAATAACCTATACCATAGTGGGGCATTCAGTTCCAGGTGCTCTGAGCCAGGTCCCTGAGTAGCCCATATCCTAACCCAACTGTAGAAGATAACTCTAAAGATAGCTGGGCTATCCCTGGCCTGTGATCTCCTTCCAAAGCTGACACATAAACACCTCGGTGGTCCCAGGCTGTGTTTTTGGTTTTGTTTTGTTTTGTTTTGTTTTAAGATTTATTACAGCGTTCTGCCTGCATGCCAGAAGAGGGCACTAGATCTCATTATAGATGGTTATGAGCCACCATCTGGTTGCTGGGAATTGAACTTATGACTTCTGGAAGAGCAGCTAGGGCTCTTCGCCTCTGAGCCATCTCTCCAGCCTCTCAGACTGTGTTCTAATGAGAGGGCAAGAGGCATTGAAACTATATCACATGAATGATGTCAAGACTGCAAATGTCCAGAGAGCAAAAACAGACAGTAGTACAGGTGGGATGCCCCTCAAAATGAGTGTCAGCTGTAGCCTTGAGACTGAAAGTTGCTAGTTCCAGCAAGACAGAGATGTTGGCAAACTTCCAACCTGGACCCAAAAGAAAACTGAGAACGCCCAGCCTTTGTGCCAGTTTCCAAGCATATTTCATCACTCATCTTTCCCCAGTATCTACCAAGATGTCCATCGGAGACCAGAGCCATGTGTTAGTAGATAGATCCATGTCCATCCCAGCCCCTACAGAAACTTGGCATGCCACCCCCAGTGACGATAAGGAAGGCCTGGGAAATGGAGGGAGGGTGCAGACCCAGACTCACTTCCATAAAACCATCACATCACACTCAGTTGCCATGAGTTTAACCAGTTCCACTATCTATGGGAACATGATTCCAAGAATCCATGGAGAAGGTATGGGGATCCACCCTAGCTGCTCACCTGGGTATACTCTGAAGTAGGCATCTATGAACCTTTGGTGGTCACCATAAATGGTCCTTGCCATGCCTGGCCAAGCTTGGGAAATGCACAGGGCCCCAGAGACATCGCCACCCTCTACAACATTGCCCTACAGATCAGGGGAGACATTCATGAGACACCTAGCCAAGTCTGGAAGAAAAGCAAAGAACTGACCATCAGCAATGTCCTGACCACTTGGCCCAAGGCAGAAAATATGAGGCATTGAATGGAACAGCCCAGTGTTTTCCTCCTGGGGAAGACTGATGAGGGCCCTGGCTTGTAGCAGTCATTAACAGTGCTGGTTAAGAAAGGGCTGCAGGTCTCATCATGAGTGGCTGCATTGTCTTCTTCTGTGGCCTGGTAAGACTGCTCCCCCCTCAGAGGCAGGTGATCAAAGAGCAAGCCAATCAATTCATGTCAGAGACAGCCCCTGTCCCCATTACTATGGAGGGCACTTGGATACTGAACTGCCACAGGCTATCTCCATGCAGGAATTCCAGGCCATCTCCACAATAGACTAGGATCAGAGAGAAGGGGAGGAGGACCTCCCTTATCAGTGGGCTGGGAGAGGGACATGAGTGGGGAAGAGGGAGGGTGGGATTGGGATGAGAGGAGGGAGGGAGGTACAGGGGAATACAAAGTGAATAAGCTGTAATTAATACAAATAAAAATAATTTAAAAAATTTAAATAACATTTTAAGACTTGAAAAAAGGGGGGGGGCTACAGGACACGTGTGAGGACCTGGCCTTTACCCCACAGACCAGACCCTGCATCTTATCAAGGGACAGAAAGTAGGGGAGTTGAAGACTTGCCAGATGAATATCAAAACATATGTGCAGGGGACAACCTCTGTAAGATCCCCCACACCTTCTCATCCATGAGTGCAGGGACGATGCCAAAAAAGGGCCTCATGGCCATGCCCGGGAGGATCTCTGCCCCATCTTCTGAGGGTCGGGGTGCAATGCAGATGCCACCAGTTTCTGCAGGGAGAATGAAAAAAAAATACAATTGATCTGGGGATCAGGGGCAGGTATGTTCCACAATGTACCCATTAAGGCTTGGACTGCAGTCTCCTCCACTGTGGGTACAAGCAGTACCCTAAACCCTGTATTCAGCAGATGCATATAGGTGCTACCCTCTCTTCAATAGGCCTTCACTGTGTCAGGCCTGAGTTTGATATAGGGAAGGGTGAAAAGCCACCTATTTGTACAGGAAGATGGAAGAAATGAACTATTTGAAGCTAGGACCAATGAGCATGCATGGTCATTTCTCTGGCACACTACATATATGGCACCATTGTGCCATACATATATGGCACACTACATATATGGCACCATCTCAGGTCTTCCAGCTCAGACAAGAGCTGTGGTTTGAACCTCTCTCATGCTGGCTAATTGCAACACAAGACTTCCAATAGCTGTGTTACTCTATAGTGCTGGCCTCTTCCCCCAAACATCCCAAAGAGTGAGATATTCAAAAAACAAAAAATCAAAACAAAATGTCAGAGAAAAACTTCCTCTTTCTGCTAAAATTTAAGTTTAGACTCTGGATCCCTCAAACAAAAAGACTTGTCCTCCTCAGAAGTGGCTGTGTTCAGAAAGGGGTGGCTCTGCAGCAGAAAACTACTGAGCATGTGTGAGGCCCTGGGCATGATTTCAAGCACTGCACCAAAATCAAAAAGGAAGGAAGCAAGGAAAGGACCCCACCTGCAAAGGAGAGTGAACCCTGAAAACTTGCTAGGCTTGTGGCCTTAGGCCACTTGCCCTAGTGTGTCACCTCATTTCCTCCTCACTCTGTGGCTCACATAGAGGCTGTAAGAAGCACATGAACCCAAGGCTCAGCAAGGCATCTCACATGCCCCAGAACAAGGCTGTACCTCTGAACCTTCTCCTATGCAGCCACATGCTGAGGGGACATGGGCTTTGTGAGCACAGTCGCTTTTGAGAACATGAACCCTGGTGCCAGGTATGCATGAGCCCCTCCAGTCTCAGCTTAGTCCTTGGTCCTGTGCCAACTCTCCCTCAGGAACACTCACCTGTCTGCCACCAAGTATCCACCAGGGTACATCTGCCATCACCCACCACCTTGTGGAGCCACTCCCAGGCCTCATGGTTGATAGGTTCTCCCACTGAAACCACACAAAAGCAAGGAGGGAATTAACAGGCTTCAAGAAAACCTGAAGCTAAAAGGAATAAATTATTAAGGAGGAGCAGCTCTGCGTTCTCCCTGAAGGCTACATCAGGAGACCTGGAAAGGCCTATGTTCCCATGTCCATAGCCATCAAAGCAATGCACATTATGATGACTTCATTCACTAAGACAGCTCAAAAGGGAAAAAAAAAAAAAAAAGAGTCCAAGAATGTGAGGAAACGGTATTATCACCCATAGTACAAGATTGAAATCTGGCACAGAATTTCTGAGGGTGAATTTGCTGTAAAATTTAAGAGACTATATATCCCATACAACTACTTTGGACAACTGGAAGGGGAAGAATTTATTAAAGCTAAAGATATGTTTACCCTACTACCTGAAATCTTGACTCCTGACATTCACTCCACAGAACTAAGAGTAGACACCTGACAGAAAAAAATGGACATGTATAGGACAGACCCATGCCAGTCTTGCTCATTACAGACAGAAAGAGACCGCTTTTAAGGACAGAATGGATAGGTTGTGATATATCTATGTAGCAGAATGCCATACAGCTTACTGCCTGACACCCATAACAGCGTGTTGCACGCCCCATCCGTACGAAGTTCAGAACATGTTCACTGAGAGAACGCCTAAGTGAGGCACAGCAAGGGGTTGCAGGAGGGAGGCTCCCATGTGCCATCCTCCATCGTATTCTGGATTCTACTAGAGTTGATCTAGGCAGTGGCCATTTGTATTATGTCTGAAAGAAAGGCTTTATTAAGCTATCTCCTTGACATCTATATGTTTGACTAGATCTCTGAAAAGCAGTGCTCTGCCCTAGCATTCTTGTTGTTGTTGTTGTCGTTGTTGTTTTTGTTATGTTTTGTTTTTTGTGTTTTGGGTTTTTGTTTTGTTGCCCTAGCATTCTATGGCCTGATTTTTCAGCGTCTGTCAGAAAAGCGCCCAAGGCTAGCATACAATCCTTGCTCATCAGTTTAGAGCAACTACTGCTGAAAGAGTAGGTGCCTCCTTGCTGGTCACCTGTCAGGACTAACTACCCGGTTCAGCACTGCCTAGCAGAGTCCTAGGCCCATGCTAAGCTGCACAGCACTGTACTCACCTGACCCCAGTGTGCGCAGGGAGGAGCGGTCATACTTTTTCACCCAGGCATCCCCGTACTTCAGCAGCAGCCGGACAGCTGTCGGGGCACCATAGAACTGGTTGATCTTTAGCCTCTGCACTGTCTCCCAGTAACGACCTACAAAAGGGTCATAGTCATCCAGAGAGCCCACCAAGCATGACCTATTTTATACATGTTCATGTGATCATAGAAAAAGAGCCTATATCATTCTTGAAGAAAGGGGTCCCAGAGAACCCCCTAATTACAAGGCGGCATGCAGCAGCTTCTGCATCCAACCTGCGTCACGTGAGGTATTCCACGTGAGCTAGGCAGGGATCAGCTTCACAAGTTACCACTGCAGGTTTTTTAAAATGACATGGAACTCTGATCAGTGGTTATTAAATGGACCCTAAAGAAATGACGCACCTTCCCTTTGTGACAGCATAGCTACTGGTATGTGTGCACCCATGTGGCTGGAAAAAAGCACACCTAATACTCACAAAGAAAAAAGTTCACACCCCAGCATGGTGGCATGTTAGGGCAAGAGCTAGCAGCAATTTGACTACATTAGAGCAAATATTTGAGAATATTGTGTTGCATGAGAAAAACAGCAAAGACAGAGGGTGTGTCTACATCCTCAAAGTGAGTGCAACTTAACAAGGGTGGCTGCAAGCCATGTACAGTCCTGAAGCTTGGGCAGTGGGACTGAGGAGGGTAGGAGAGATGGGCAGCTGGCCCAGGCTTTGAGAAAAGGCCAAATGTAGATAACTGGGGTGGCCCTAGCTCATAAGATGGAGAATGTTAAAGTGATGGCTCTCAGCTCCCACTATAGGCTCAGTACATGTGAAATGAGCAGTGCTAAGGTAAGACTGCTCCTTGTCCAACCCCCTCTGATCTTCTGCACACAGTGGTAGGCTCCAGTTCATCTATCAGGGCTCAAGGCTTTGCATCTCTAATACCACCTCACATCTTTTCAAAGGGACACAAGAACTGTCTCCCTTGCAAGATCCAAGCCTCCAGGCTTCTGTGACTCTTTCCTCCAACCTTGAGATCCCTCCCCCACTACCTAGAACCAGCCTCACCAGAGTTCTTGGTCCTCACCAGCATCAGGGTAAACTGGGGTGCTCTCAAAAAGGACTGTGGTAGCTCCATTGCAGAGGGGTCCATACACCACATAGCTGTGTCCGGTGATCCAACCGATGTCAGCCACACAGCCAAAGACATCACCTGGCCGGTAGTCAAACACGAGCTACGGACACAGGAGAGGGCCTTCAAGACCTTGCCTTCCCAGTCACCCTTTTCCTACCCACCACTAACATAGTCATTTACACAGCAGTCTGTAACTGTGACACAGCCACCTCAGCTGCCAGGAGAAAGGTGACAGCTACAGAGGTTTCACGCAGAGCCCAGCAAAAGACAGAACCACCAACACAGACAGCAGCAGTGTGCCCATTGCAAGTACCAAACATTACACGATATATGAGCCCAGAGAGCTCCAGCAAGCCAAATAATTCTGAGCTAACGAATGAAGTTTGCCCTGGAGTTTATGACCTGAAACAGGGATGCACCCAGGGATGCCATTTAATCTCATTGTACAATTAAGGTGTAGCAACTTGAAGTTGGAATGTACCTTGGCAGTAACCACAGGCTTGTCATGCATGAAGCCCTACATTCAATCCATAGCATCAAGAGAAGAAAGGAAAAAAAAAAAAAGCCTGGCATGTTTCTGAACTACCTTATATCAATGTTTTTTAAAACACTTAAACATTTATAAAATCCAATGCAAGTACATTTTGGGCACCATCAGTTTCTGTAAGCATGCAAGGGACAGCTGTTTCCCCTTGCTGACAGGTCATCTTAAGCTTAGGGACCCAGTGACAAATGACTAACTGACAAAATCTAAGGAAATAAAAGAGAGAAAAGGGAACTCACAGAGTAAAGAAAACATCCAAATATTGTGATGAGCTAGAATACATATGTCTAGGAATATGCTTGAAAAATACATGACATTATGGAGGATGGGACTATAGAAGGGGCTTCTGCAAGACTAGTACACATTCCATTTCTTCATTGAAGTGATGTTCATTTTATACTAACTCACTGATACGCAGATTGGATTTTAGTAGGATTTATGCATTTTTCAAAAATAGTTTTTCTCCTCCCCCTAATGGGGGAGCAGCCTTGCCAGGCCACAGAGGAAGACAATGCAACCAGTTCTGATGAGAGCAGATAAGCTAGGGTCGGATGGAAGGGGAGGAGGACCTCCCCTATCCATGGACTTGGAGAGGGGCATAGGAGGAGATAAGGCAGGAAGGGTGTGAATTGGGAGAGGAGGAGGAAGGGGGTACAGCTGGGACACAAAGTGAATAAACTAATTAATATAAAAAAATAAAAAATTAATTAAAAAAGTTTTTTTCTGGGCATGACAGCACACACTGTTAGAGCCTCATACTTTGAAGGCAGAGGCAGGCAAATCTCTATGTGTTTGAGGCCACTCTGGTCTACCAGCCAAGACTATAAAGGAAGACCCTGTCTCAAAAAAATATATATATTTTAATTTTCACTTGGGAAGTCCCCCAGTTCCTACTACCTCAAACCAGGGTCAGTTTCTCTATGAGTCAGCATTTTTCAAGCAACCGCATGAGAGGACATGAGCATCCAGGCCTTTGCAGAGCTCTGTCTCCAGGCCAACAAGGACACTCCAAAGGAAGAAGGCACTTTTGCTCTTCTAGGAAATAAAGATGCTCTAATCTTAAAACCTCAAGCACTCAAGAGCAAAATAATTACATAATTCAGATCCAAATTGTCTGTCCTAAGGCTGAAGATTTCTTTCCTCATAATTCATTTCAGGAATCTCTGGACCTGCGGGCAATCATTCTCCAAAAGGCCCAACAGCCGAGAAGGTCTATGACTTAACTGAATGGCCCAATGTCACTCACAGCTCTATCACTTTTCATAGTCAACCATCCTCTTCCCTAATAGTCTCAACACCATCATCATGGACCAATGTGCATGGGAACACTAGCAAAAACATGATGATGACATGCATGTGGGCAAATATCTGTATACATCTACATACATCCATTCACACGTAAACATTCCCCCAGGTGAATACATACATGTGTATTAAAACATGTACAAGGACCCTGGCACACAGTGTCATCTGAGCACAGGGCAGCCCCAGTGTGGGTACCCTAGCTACTACATCTTCTACTAAGGACACAGAGACATGGCAGCCTCAGCATTGGCAACAAGCTAAACCAGCCATGTCCAAGCAGATCTGGGAACAAGACTTTTACTCCAACAGACATTTTTGTGAGTGTCATGGCCAGAGAGAGTGGGCTGTGTGCTATAGAGTTGCCTAGGTGCCTAGGAATACATCAGGCCTCCTTATATCACAAGCCCTGCGTGTGACACCTGGCATAGAAAAAGCTTCCAACACCAAATGAGCAGAAAGATACACATCTCTCTTGCCTTTCCTATTTGTGTTTATTCTTAGCCACAGAAGCCTAAAAAATCTCTTTAGTAATAAAAAGATGCTCCTGCCCTATCTCTGTACCTCCTTGTGGTAGTTTGGATAAGAATGGCCCCCGTAGGCCCATATATTTGAATGAATAGTCATCAGGGAGTAACATTATTTGAGAAGGATTAAGAGACGTGGCCTTGTTTGAAAAAGTGTGTTATTGGAGGTGAGCATGGGGATTTCAAAAAGCCTAGACTAGGTCCAACATATCTCTTTTTCTCTCTCTGCCTGCCTGCCTGCCTTTGGATCAGGATGTAAAGCTCTCAGCTACTTCTTCAGTGCCATGCATGCCACCCTGCCACCATGCTTCCTGCTATGATGATAATGGACTAAGCCTCTGAAACTGTAGGCAAGCTCCCAATTAAACACACACACACACACACACACACACACACACACACAAATGAATGAGTTACCTTGATTATACTGTCTCTTCAAAGAGATAGAACAGTGACTAAGACAGAACTTGATACCAGGGACTGGGATATTACTATGAAAGGCCTGACCATGATTTTTGTTGGAGGAATACTGAAAACTTTGGGACTTTGGACTAGAAAAGTAGTGGAACACTTTAAGTGGACTTTAATGGGACTTTCTAGTAGGAGCATGGAAGACAGTGCTGAGGGTGATTTGAACTGTGTGGGCTTAAGAAGTTTCAGGGGGGAAGAATGTTAAATCACTGGCCTAATGACCATTCTTGTGATGTTTTGATGAAGAGTATGGCTGCTTTCTACCCTTATCCCAAAAATCTACCTGAGGCTAAATTGAAGCGTTTTGTATTAATGCCTTTGGCACAGGTGATTTCAAGACAGCCTAGTATTGACTCTATTGTATAGTTACTAATCACTCCAATGTAGCTGTATAATAAACAGGAGAAAGATGAACAAAAAGAAATGCAGAATATACAGTATGAGGAGAAAAATCACTAGGAAAGGTTAGAGCTGAGTCCTGTGCTCAAGAAGATAAAGAGCTTAAAGAAAAGCCTGATGGTAAATGGAATAGAGGGCAAGATCCCACCCAGAGAAGCTTCCAACTTATGAAAAGAAATTAAGCAGCAAAAGAAACCATCAATAACAGAAAGCTCATGCAAATGTGATTGAAAAATGAGGCCAGGTTCCAGCTCCAGCAAGCAGCAGAATTTGGCCATTTCAGCCACCCACATGATGCTGGCTTTAGAGACAAAGATACAAGAAAGGAGTTGAGGAATCTCCCCTCTGCTAAGGAAAGCATCTAAGGCCAGAGATATGTCAGCTGTTTCCCTGCATGGGGGCCCAGAGAGGCCATGATATGTAGCTGTGAAAATGAAGGCTAGATAATGTTAGAGCCCCCGAGAAGTTGGAGTTGCAGACATAGAATACCTGCCAAAAAGAGCTGTTAACAGAAAATGGAACTAACCAAAAGAGAGAGGTGTGTTACAGTCAGCAAAGCTAAAAGGACTTGAAGATCTGAAAAACACTTCGACATCAGACATGGAGAGGCCAAATATGGAGTTTGCCTTGCTGGGGTTCAGTCTTGCTTTCATCCATTATCTCCTCACAACACTCCTTTTCCCCTTTTTGGAATGCTAATGTATATTCTGTGCTATTGTGTGTTGAAATGTAATCTACTTTTTGATTTTGCTTTGACAGAGGTTTATGATTAAGACATTGCCATAAGTCTCAGAGACTTTGGATTTTTTTAAACAGTGTTGAGACTGTGATAGACTATGGTGACTTTTGAAGTTGGACTGAATGCATTTTTATATTTATAATATGCTTGCAAGTCTTTGGGGACCAGGAAGTGGAGTGTGGTGGTTTAAATGAGAATGGCCCCTATAGGCTCATATATTCGAAGGCTTAGTCACCAGAGGGCAGAACTCTTTGATATGATTAGAAGGTTTAGGAGGTGTTGCCTAATTGGAGAAAGTGTGTTACTGGAGGTGGGCTTTGAGGTTTCAAAAGCCCATGCCAGGTCTAGTCTCTCCCTTTGCTTACAGGTCAGGATGAAGAACTCTCAGCTACTTCTTTCTACCTACACACCACCATGGTGATTATGGACTATACTCTGAAACTGTAAGCAAGCACCCAATTAAATACTTTCTTTTATAAAAGTTGCCTTGGCCATGGCGTCTCTTTATAGCAATAGAACAGTGATTAAGAAACCAGCCAAGATTTTTCTAAAGGCTCTCTCTGAAAGCCTGGCTGGAACTCTGGCTTCATGACAGAAGAGAACAAGCCAAGGAAAGTTGCTACCAGCCAGAATAATGCCTCAGCCCTGCTCACAGGGACCTGGGTGCCAGCGACTCTCAGAGGCAACTGGCAACCCATGTTAGATCACAGTCCTCTACCACAACACTCTCTTTCTATATGTTTATTGAAATGAAAGCATGATCTGCTATTTTATGTGCCTAAAGGGTGACCCACTGTTGTGAAATTTTCGCTTACTAATTCAAATTTCTTTATAAAAGTGTTTTTAATTTTACTTTTACATTTGAAATGAGTAGTATTAAGAATCCTCAATTGTTTTAGAGGCACATTTTTTTTTTCTTTTCTTTTCAAGGTAGTGGGAAGCCAGGTTTACATGCCTATAATCCCAGCTCTTGGGAAGCTGAAGCAGGAGGACGGCACTGACAGTGTTGAGGATGACCTCAGCACTGTGTTGAGGTCAGTCTAGGCTAGAGTAAGATTCTGTCTCCCAAAAGACAAAGCAAAGACTGTAATAGCCAGATGGGATAGATGATTCCAAGGAGACAATATCTTCCAGACACAAGATGTGAACTCATGTGAACTCACAGAGACTGTAGCAGCCTTCACAGGACCTGCACAAGTTCAAGACAGGCTGAGTCCCAGCACTGGGGGAGAAAGCAGACACAGAGTCTATCTTAGTTAGGGTTTTATTGCTGTGAAGAGACATCACGACCATGACAACTCTTATAAAAGAAAATATTTCATTGGGGCCAGCTTATAGTCCAGAGTTCAGAGGTTTAGTCTGTTATCAGCATGGCAGCACGCAGGCAGACCTGGTGCTAGAGAGATAGCTGAATGTTCTACATCTGGATCAAGAGACAGCAGAAAGAGAACTGGCTTGAGTTTTTGAGACCTCAAAGTCCACTTCTTAATGACACACTTCCTCCCACAAAGCCGCACCTACTACAGCAAGGCCACACCTCCTAATAGTGCCACTCCCTATGGACTAAGTAGTCAAACACATGAGTCTATGGGGCCGTTCCTCCTCAAAGCAACACAGGCTCTCTCATCCCTAACAAAAAACTTATCCGTAATTGACACCCACTGGCAAAGGGAAAATCAGTTTTTCCAGTGGTATGTAACTGGGTTTTTCAACCATACTCCAAAGTAGGTCCCATGCCTAGGCATAGTTTTTGTGAATTTGTATGTGTATATGCAAATTTTTGTGAATTTTTCATTTTGTTTTTGCATTTTTTGTCATATTGTGCTTATACTTGTTTGTTTTGATTTTTGTTTTTGTGGGTTTTTATTGGTTTCTTGGATTGGGTTTGGGTTGGGGTTTTTGTTAACAAGAGAGAAAGAAGTCAGGTATGATGGCCCATGCCTTTGATTCCAGCACTCAGGGAGACAGAGGCCAACCTGGTCTACAAAGCAAGTCTAGGACAACCAAGGCTACACAAAGAAACCCTATCTTGAAAAACCAAAAAGAAGAAAGAGAGAGAGAGAAAGTTGGTTGATTGGTTAGGGAGGTGGGGAAGATCTGGGAGGAGTTGGGGGAGGGAAAAAACATGATCAAACTATATTGTAGGAAAAAAAATTTAAACGAAATAAGAACAAACCAAAGACAACAACAACAACAAAAAAACCTCAAGCAAACAAAAAAGTAAAAATCAGAAAGAAAGGATAAACTATGAACTTCTGAGTGGAAGAAAAATATCTTAATATATAATAGTGAATTTTCATCTTTATACCAAGACAGTTGCGTTTGGCTTGGGTTTCTTTGTTTTTCTGCTGTCTTGGAGCTAGAAGCCAGGGCGTTGAGCATTCTAAGCATGCATCTACCACCCCAGCCCTGGTAAGTTTTTCTGCTGCTTATAACCTTTCTTTTCACAGTGCAATTATTAGATACATGCAAAAGGAACCCATGAAGTCAGAAATGAAAGGGAGCCTGCAAAGCCTCCATCCCCACACCTCCAGCAGGAGTGGGAGCAAGGCAGAGGGGCTACTGGGCCACAGCAGCCTCAGCTGCACCCCAGCTCTTCTTTCTCTTGCACACACCCACTCTGCTGCACCATAATTCATGACAGCCTGCTCATGAGCTACAAGCAAACATCGGCGCCACAAGTATGCGGCTGCAGAGACTCTAGCCATCTCTGTGGTTCCTCCTTGCCCTACCCAGAATCTGCAAAGGCAAGGCAGGAGCCATCCTTTCCCCTTCTCCCCTGGGTTCTTACCTTGTGTGTCATGGCAGCATACAGCAGATAGCCTGCCTGTGTATGAACAAGTCCCTTGGGTGAGCCAGTGCTTCCAGAGGTGTAGAGCATGAAGAGCATGTCTTCACTGCTCATACTTTCAGGTTCGCACACAGGGGCCTCATTGGCCATCTCCTGGAAGGGACAGATGCACATCACCAGGTCAAGGCATTTAGCCACTCCCCTCCATTAGGCCCTTGCAGAGTACCACTTCCCTAAATGAAGTCAGGACTCTCAAAGTTACATTCTCTTTCAATTTTAAATGTATACACACACATACATAAAAACAGACTGAGGCTGGTGGTGTAGCTTAGTGTTTGAACTCCTACTTAGCATATGCAGAACTCTGGGCTCCACTCCCACTATGGGTTAGAGGAAATGGGGGACACCTCCAGGAAACCCAGGTGATCTAATAAAAATGTCTCCTCACAGAATAATGTCTCCAAAAGGAGACCAACAGAGCCAAAAACCACTGAGCCCTGGGGAGCCTGAAGAGACCCCAACCAAGGACAATTCATGGAGAGGGCCTAAAACCCCTGCCCAGATGTAGCTCATAGACTCAGTCTCCAATTGGGGTCCCTAGTAATAGGAATAGAGCCTGTGTCTGGCATGAACTCAGTGGCAGGCTCTCTGATCACCTCCTCCTGGTGGGAGCATCCTTGCCAGGCCAGAGGAAGACAATTCAGCCAGTCCTGATGAGACCTGATAGGCTAGGGTCAGATAGAAGAGGAGGTGGACCTCCCCTATCAGTGGACTAGGGGAGGGATATAGAGGGAGAAGAGGGAGGGAGGGTGAGGTTGACAGAAGACAATAGAGGGGGCCACAGCCAGGATACAAATTGAATAAATTATAATAAATTATGATAATTATAACAATAAGTTATACATAAGAAAAAAATAATCTCTCCTTACACTGTACCACGTGAGGTAAACCCACCTGCTCAAGGGGGATGTCCAGACTCCCCATATGAACCTTGATGTCCGTCCTGTGAGCCACCAGGACATGCTGGACTGTGGGGCAGTTCTTCACAGCTTCATCCACTATTTTCTTCAGCTCTACTACACGCCCTCCCCGGAGCCCTTGGTTGAAGGTGATAACAACCTTGCACTTGGCTAAAGGATACAACACAGACATACCTGATCAGCATAGACCCTCAAAGCCTGACCTGACTGGTAGCTGAATGCCCCTGACCTAAGAGTGTGGCCAACAGAACCAACAGAAAAAGTAAAGATCTGCTTGCTGTGTCAAATACAAGTGCCCCATCTTTCCCCAACTCTGAGGATGAGTAGGGGAACTAGAAACAGAGTACCTTGAGACTAAACTGTTCTCCCACAAGTCAGCAGCATAAAGACAGCTTCCCAGCCAGGATTCTACTCTCTCCAGGAGCTTTCTCCAAGTGAGGGATAGTCACATTGCCTGTTGTGACCACGTTGGCAAGTGGGACCAAGGTTTCCACATAGCCAGTGGTCCTTTGCTGTCCAGAGAATATAGTCTCTGGGTGGGTGAAGTTGTGGCCCAGCCTTGCCCTTACAAGAGTACTCACCTTGCCTTCATGGGAGCACACCCTCTTACATTCCTGCTCTTCAAGTATCCAGGCAGGCTTTGCTCAAGATTCTCCCTGAAAGTCCACACTTCTATATCCAAGGTAGCCGAGGCCCAGAGCAGAGTGTGAGAGACGCTATGGCGCTGAGGGACTACTCTTCACACTGCCTCAAGGGGACAATCCAACAGAATCCCATCTGTGGATTAATTTTAGTCTGGCCCTGTGTATGTGTCTAGAGCAAATATTCTGCAGTGATATTGCCTGTAGGGGCTTCCCACGTCCCTGAGTGTTATGGTTTGAATTTCAAGTGTCTCCCACAGATTTCCAAGCTGGTGGTGATATTTTGAGAGGTTCTGGTAACTTCAAGAGGTAGAAGGTGGCTACATTAACTAGGTTATTTTGGGGTGTGCAGTGAAGGTTGTATCCTACACACAAACATGCACATACACACACACACACCATATATATGCACACATACTCACACCACTAGTACACAAATCATATACACACACCACACACACACTCACAAACACACACATGCGCACACTAACACAGCACATATTCTTACACACACACTCACATACTCTCACACACACACATACACATACCACACACTCAGTCACACACAGTTTTTCTGCTTTCTGCTATGAGGTGAGCAGCCTCTGCCAGATGGTCCCATCACTGTGGCATTCCCCCTTGCTGCGGGCAAGAATCAGTAGAGCCAAGTAAAATGGACTGAAACCTCTGAAACCCTAACCCAAAATAAAGCCTTCCTCTCTCAAGGCGTTTTTTCTGAGGCATTTGGTTACAGTGATGTAAAAATAACTAATCTACTGGGACCTTAAATATCCACATCAAGAGCCTCCCCCTTCCCCGTGACCACAATGCTAGGGAGTCACCCCAAGCAGCTGTCTTCACCCAGAAGCTCTCAGGAGACAAAGTGCAAACCAGCAATGCTTGTGGTTACCCGATGCATGGGCCACGCACTGCTGTCCATGTTCCTGTGAGGGAAGCTCTGGAGTCCAGTTTCAGATCCTCTTCCCAGCCCTACAGCCTACCTTCAGTGGTGCTTCTCAGGATCACCTCCCGCATGACTAAAGACACAGGCTCCTCTTAGTGAACAATCCTTAAGAATAGTTGAAGAAGGGGCCCTCCCGCGCCTCATAATCAGCCAGCCTCTGCACTGTCATACTGTTCATTCAGCGGTCCTTGGGTTCTGGGAGCTTCCCCAGCACCCAACTACCAAATTACCACATATTACAGCCAGTTAGGGCCAAATAAGATTCCTCACCTCAGAGAATCTTGGCAGACACACAGTCCCGATGGCCATACCGGGAGAAGGAGGGACAACCTAACGAGTGCCACAGCACCAACCCTGTAGGAAACCCCAGCTTTCCCACTCACCAGCTGTGCGAATTTGGGTAAATGACTTAATTCTCTGTGTCTACTTCCTGATTTAAAGGAAAGAGTAGTCAGTGTGGCGATGCACACTTTAATACCAGCACTCGAGAGGGAGAGGCAGGCTGATCTGAGTTGAGACCAGCCTGGTCTACGTAATGAGTTCCAGGGCAGCCAGAGCTACATAGTAAGACCCTAGCTCAAAAAACAAAGGGGGTGAGGGGAAACAATAGTAACCTCTTCATAAAGAAAGGACCTGAACCAGACAGGTGCATAGCCAAGTGAAGGCCTGATCCTAGGATAAGTGGAGTCCTAGTCAACTAGCACCAATCCGTCTCAAAATCTTTCAAAAACAAAAGTAGTGCATATTTCCAAATTCATTTTATGAGACCAGCATTATTCTGATGCCAATGTCAGACAAAAACACTAAAAAAAACCTATTGGTGAATAAATATCCCTCCTGAACAATGGTGCAGAACCCCTCAATGTCATGCTGTACCTCACAGCAAGTAGGGTTTGCCCACAGGAAAGCAAGGATAGTTCAGCAAGCAGAACCCAACAATATCATACACTGTATTAACAGAATAAAGGACAAGCCTATGTTTCAACAAATAAAGGGAAGTGCTTGACACATTCAACGCTTTTGATGCTAGAAACATGAAACAAGATGAATAGTCGTCGACCTGATGAAGGGCATCCATGTGATGCCGTAGCTAACATCACCTTCCCACTGAAAAAAACTAAAGTGTTCCCTCTGAGATCAGGACAAAGATGAGCATGCCAGCTCACCCCTGCCCCCACCACTGGTCAACATGGTCACAGGACTTCCAGGCAGAGCCATTAGCCAAGAGAACGGAATCACCAAGAGTGGAAAGAAAGAAATAACACTATCTCTACCCACAGAATGCATGACACTGTAGGTATGAAATCCATTTAAAAACCGTGAAGGCTAATAAACAATAAACTTACAGGATATAAGAATAAAATGAAAATTTCAGTTGTATTTGATGGACAAAATGGTGTCCACCTATGATCCCAGCCCCCAAATACTGAGACCAGTAAATTTCAAGGCCAGTGAGAAGACTGTCTCACAACCCGAGTGGGAGTGTACAAGGCCTTGGGCTCAATTCTCAATACACACACGTATACACATGCCTGCATGCTATTCATTGTACTTCTCTCAAAATGAGCAACTACAAGGATACTAAGAGAAAACAAGACAGACTAATTCTCAGTGGCTTCCAGAATCTGTGACCTTCCTCGAGGAGCCTGCCCAGGGTCTGTATATGGGAAACAGAGGGCTCAAGCTGGATAGACAGTGGGCTACCATCCATCCGTCCATCCGTCTGTCTGTCCGTCCATCCATCTAGGCCTCTGACAACACTGAAAGCAAAGACATGCTGCTGCTGCTCTTTCTAGGAGACTCAGACCCACCTGCAACCTGAAAATATGTTTTTTAAAACAGGGTCTCTCTATATAGCCATGGCTGGCCTGAAACTCTATATAGACCAGACCAGCCTCAAACAGAGATCCACCTGCCTTTGCCTCCCAAGTGCTGGGATTAAAAGAGTGCACTATGGCCAGTGGGTCTGAAAGTCTTACCGATAAACCAGGCTTCTGGAGGCAGGTATTTCCCACCCCTCAGCCAGTGCTGTTGAATTTCAGTACAACAAGCCTGCCAGACCACTGTGTCCTTTCACCAGCAGTGTGGCCCTAACAGTCCTTCTAGGCCTCACACAGATGCATTCTTCCCATCATGGGCCTGGTACTCTGCTGTCTCCCTCACTGGAACTTTCCCCTCCCTGCTTTGTTTGGCAAACTCCATCTGATATACTCAGATCTAGGCCTATTTATTCACCACAGGCCTGCCCTGGTGGCACCTGCCTTTGGTCTGTGCAACTTCTTACTGATGGCTAGCTCCACTAGTCTCTGCTGAGAACATAAGGTCTGTGGACTCCTGAACTCCTCCCATACCCACCCATGCTTACCATCATTGATCCTCCCAGCCAAGGACTCTGCACTAAAGCCAGCAAATACCACTGTGTGGATAGCTCCAATCCTCGCACAGGCTAGCATTGCTGCCACAGCCTGTGGGGACACAGGCATGTAGATGGCCACACGGTCCCCTCGGTGCACTCCATGCCTCTTCAGCGTGTTGGCCAGGCGGCATGTGGTCTCCAGAAGCTCCCTACAGCATAGGGGAGGGAAGGCCATTAGAGACAGGGAAGAGAGCCACAGTACAGCACAATGGGACAAGTCACAGATTGCAGGCGCTGTCTCCCAGCCCAGTGCAGGAGGATGAAAGAACTTGCAGCTTGGCAAGACAGAAATGTTTTCAATGTTTGGACATGCTCAGCCATACTGGTAAGGCTGTCCTCACAGCCTTTCTATTTCTGAGAGGTCATATTCCCAAGGTCATGTTGGATTCAAAAATGTAAGAGGTAGGTTTTAAAGAAAGTCTTCTGGCAGGAGAAAAGGAGGCTCATAGTCTTCTATATCAATAGAAGCCAATGGTGCCAAGAAACTCTCCTTCTAGTCAGGGACTTAGACCTTGGTAGGGCAGGTGCCAACTTAGTGAAACCATAGTGACTGGGAAGACAGAGATGACTACCCTGGCCATAACTGCCTCGGCAGAATTGAGAGGCAGAGATCTGTGCTAGGTACCTACCAGGCACAGATGACAAATTGGCAACACACACACACACACACACACACACACACACACACACACACACACACCTCTATGCATGCACATGGTGTAAAGAGACCTTCTCCAGGTTGCAACAAAAGATAGTAAGCTGGGTTGGTTCAGAGTTAACTCATGATTCCTTCATCATCATAGTCCTTGACTAATCATAGCTCATGACACTGAACTCCAAGAAAACCAGGAGTATAGGATAGGAAAGCTGCCCCATTGTGAAGGCAGAAGAGGAGAAAAACAGAGGCAGGACAGAAGTAAGCCTATCAAGGCTATTTGAATACCTTGTCTCATTAAACTTGGACATGCCAAATGGATACCCAGTCATTTTCCCTCTTTTTCTATACATTTTTCATTAACTATTTACAATAATAATAAAAAAAAAAACCTTACTCAGAAAGAAAGGCCCCTTTTTTCTGGGCTGATGGAGGTTACCACCATCAGAGGGCCACATTCCTGCCCTCTGAGTTGCACTGAGATGCTCCAAATAGGGCAGGGCCAGGCCTGCAAACAGGCCCAAGGTGGGACTCTGTTTCAATACCCTCAAAGCCACTGAAAAGCATAGTTCCCTATCTACAGGGCTTTAAGAAAGGCTAAGCTCAACAAGAGGCCTCTGGGAAACCACAGCAGAATTAAAATGCAGCCCCCATCTCAGGCAGAGTTCAAGGAGCCCTTTGTTTCTTCTGAAGCCATCCCACAAAGGAACACAAATAAGCCTGATGCCCATCCACCCTGCTATTGGCCCAGCTGCTGGCTACTTCTACCCAGCTCAGTCCAATGGCTCTTGAGGGTTTCCATCTTTTCTCCCTGAAGCTGTAAAGAGGACAAAGGCGATATTCAGTGGTACTCTGCCTACCCTTTCCCTAAGTTAACAATGAAAGAACACTCTGAGACCAAAGCTACAGAGTAGGGCCCAGAAACAGCCCTACTCTGCTGAAAGGCCTGCCCAGTGCTAAAATAAAATAATAAAATAAAATAAAATAAAATAATTAAAAAAGCAGCTGCAAAATAAACCAGGCCCTTCCCATCAGCTCTGTTTTCAGATCTCTAGAGTTTATACCCTGTGCTGAGAAAGATGCAGTCTAGAGTACCATGCCTACTGACCAGTGGTGTTGAAACCCAGCCTTTACCCTGTAGCCCTGAGGCAGCCGTTTAAAGAGGACTGTGGCCTGTTTGTAGAGCAAGACCTTCCTATATCAGACGCAACCCTACTACAAGTTCTGTAATCAGCCTGACACTTGCCTAAAGTCACACAATGGAATTGCACCCTCCACTTCCATCCCGAGAGTCTGAGATGACCTCCAAACAGGAAACAGCTGGAAAGAGAATCTAGCGGGAGGAGAGGAAGAAGCTGTATTTCCGTATTCATTTTTCTTTCAGTCAACGTTGGATTTTGTTGTTTTGAGAATAAGACCTGAAACTGCAAATAGCCTAGACTGGCCTGGAACTCACCAACTTCTGCCTCACCTCATATGTGTTAGAATCACAAATATGTGCCACCGTGCCCAGGTTGAAGATGTTTTATTGTTGTTGTTTTGTTTTAGTTATTTTATTTTATTTTTCTTCATGACTAATACCGAAAGCTTCTTTCCTTCCTAGTCATTTCCCTGATGCTAGACCAAGGAAGGAAAATATTGATTGCTGAGTGTTTGGGTGTTGTGTTTAGGAAACAACAAATTGAAAACAGATGGTCTACCCATTTCCTACACTGACTCTGGCTCTTCATGACACTAGCTGAAAATCTTATCTTCTTTAGTACCTTTCTGCTCCACTAGACTACAAGGTCTGCTTAGACATAGCTTTGTTTCTTACTTATTGCCTTATGATCAACATTTATAATAAGGCTAGGTAACAGAAGATACTCAGTAAATATTAAATAGATGAGTACAGCACATGAACATAAAATGAAAGCCATATAGGCCCAGGGCAATGAGCTACATTCACTGGCAAAATCCCTCTACACTGCAAGCCTTGAGGGCCAACTCCATGACCTAAGCAAACACAGAAGGGCTCTGCTACAGTCTCTAGAATTTAGTATTCCCTTTGGTGCACATGAGAGAGGAAACGGTGGGTTTTAGTGACGCAGAATGTGACAAGACCAACCTTTCACTCCCAGCAAGGCACAGCAGGTCCTGCACCCTATCTTGAAGAACCAGCCCAAGGGAACGGTCACTGAACCATGAAGCCTGATTTCATGGTGACAAATTCACTCACTCTGCTGCTTACAACCCCCAGAGAATGGAAGCCACAGAAATAGGCTGGACGTGTTCATAAACCAAGTGCACCGTCATGTGATGTTATGGCCATGACTTTTAGCAAAGAGCTTTGACAAAAATGTTAAGAGTCAGCTGGTCATGGTGGCACATGTCTTTAATCCCAGCATTCAGGAGGCAGAGGCATGTGGATCTCTGTGAATTTGAGGCCAGCCTGGCCTACTCCAGGACAGCCAGAAACCCTATCTCAAATCCTTGCCCCTCAAAAAAAGAAAAAGAAAATATTAAGAGTCACACACATATCAACTCGGAAAACTCCCAAAGCTGCTGTTGGCCAGTGAAAGCCAAAGACACCATCAGGGGATCCCCATGAGACAACAGCTGGGACTGACACGTCATCTGGTCAACCTGGGCCACTCCAGCTATATTTTCTAAGTTCTTTCAGAAAACGGATGCACTTCCCTTGAGGTATGCCACACTCTAGTGAAGGTACTTACCTCAGCCTCTATCTCTCAGAGAGCTGTCTCCCTGGACACCCAGTAGTATTTGAGCAAAGGTAAGGATGTGTTCTGTAACTTAATGCATAGCAGCCATTATCCTGTTAACTGGAGCAGCTGTGAATACCTGCAGGACACTCCCAGCAAGACCTGGCCCTGTTCCCCTCTCGCAGAAGGGGGTGATATTAGACCCTCCCCGGGACTCCAACCTCTCCCTCCTGTACCACCCCTTCTCCCAGTGTATGCAATTCCACACTAGCTGCTTGTGATCTTGGGGTGCTAGAAGTGTATAGAGTTTGGAAAGTAGTCATGCATGCTGGAGTAGCATGTTTCAGTCATGCAACTGTTTTGTGGCGTTTTGGGGGAGGGTCGACTCACCTCTGCTCTTGTAACTAACCCCTCTCCTGTGCTTCTGTTTCACCATGCTACCTTGGGGTGGAACTGTTGCTTTGCCCCATTTGTCGTGAGTAGGCATGAGAGAAGCTAATTTAACAAGATCCTACTGGGCTCCCCACATTTTGGAATAAAATGGCCATATTAAAGAGTCCACGACTAAGGAGACTGTGGATCCTAGCTATGATGTCCCAGGCATCTTTAAAGGTGTTCCATAGATGGCAGCTATTGTAATTACATAAAATGGGCTAAGAGGTGGGAAAAGAGTAAATATAGACAGCTCCTTAGCTGCTTTTTTTTTTCTCACATTGGGTATTGCACCCAGGACCTCACACATGTAAAACAATCACTCTATTGCTGACCTACATACACAGTTAATTTTATTTATTGAGACAGACTGTTTAAAGGATACATTTGACACTGTTCTGGGGCTAGAAGCCAGACCCTTACCCATGCTAGGCAAGCATCCCACAGACAACCTTACACCCATAGTTCTCTAATGACTCCTTAGCACAGGAAGACACCTCATGTGTCTCTTTCCCAGGAGGGAGAATATGAAAATGCCAGTTTGTCCTATGTAAGTTGCCAGATCAGATCCTCGGCTCTGGGCAAACGTGACTGACCCAAGTGTTTATGGAGGCCCTGAGTGAAGCATTTCACCTGACCTGGCCAGTCCACCTGCTTTGTGGCCACCTCTGCCAGCACTGGGTGCTCCGCAAGAGTGTTTAGGTAACGTCTGGCCTTTAGGAACCTAGCCAGAGGCTCAACAGCAAAAAGTACAGGCCTATCCAGACAAGACCACCTGAGGGTCATCAGGATATAAAAGAAATTATTGATCCAAAAAGGGTTTGGCTTCTTCTTCATTTTCTTTTAAGAAAGCAACAACAAGTTTTATTCATATTAAAAGAAAAGCCAGGGGGGAAATATTGTGGATATAAACATGTTTTTGTTTTAATCCCAATTGTGGGCTGTGGGACTGATTCAGACTGTCCACAGCAGCAAACTATTTGCCTCCTGTGGGCTCTGAGAAGTGCTCTTTGCCAGCTGCAGATAGTTTAAATCTAAGGACTCTGGAGAGAGAGTAAATGTCAGGACCCAGAACGTGTTGAGGAGCTCCAGACAAGAACAAGGCTACTGCTGCTTCTCCCTTCTGGCTCGTGGTGGCTGTTGATGCAGTGAGACAAGAAGTTGGAGATCTCCTGAAAGGATTGTACTACAAGGAACCCAAGGACCCTAACCAGCAGGAAGCAGCTAACAGAACTGCACTCCCTCTCCCACCAACCCTTTCTCTCTCCTACCTGGTATTGGGATGTTGGGAGGGATTACAGTGGAGTAGGAAGAAAGAGATACAAGATATATAAGTAAAAGAGTTTTTAAAAAGTACAGC